TGCCATACTCACAAAGGTCTACTCAAGTTCAAAGGGAGGTGACACAGACTCTAGTGCTCAATGAGGTCGCAATTTAAGAATGTTTAGGATGGGATATATTGTGTTTGCCACCTTTGGAAAAGTCCTTTGTATTTCCATATACATTTTATTTTATTTTTATTTTTATTTTTTTTAAAGATTTTTTTTAATTTCTTTATTTGACAGAGTGATAGCACAAGTAGGCAGAGTGGCAGGCAGAGGGAGAGGGAGAAGCAGGCTCTCTGCTGAGCAGGGAGCCCGATGCGGGACTCGATTCCAGGGCCCTGGGATCATGACCTGAGATGAAGGCAGCCGCTTAACTGACTGAGCCACCCAGGCGTCCCTCCATATACATTTTAGAATCAGCGTGGCCAATTTCTATTTTTAGTAAGCCTGATAGAATTATGACTTGGAGAGAATGTGGCTTTGTATTCATGAGCTATTTTATTTTTTCATCATTATTGTGGTATAAATGACAAAATTGTATATAAGACATACAACTTGATGTTTTAATATATGTGTACACTGTGAAATAATTGCCACAGTCAAGCTAATTAACATATCCAGCACCTCCCATTATCTCACACAGGTACCATTTGTGTGTGTGTGAGATCACTTACTATCTATCCCTTCAGTAAATTTCAAGTATGCAATTCAATATTATTAATTATAGTTACGTTGCTGTATTTTGATCTCTAGAAATTAATTCATCCTGCATAACTGAAACTATAATATGTCATCATTTCTCCCTCCTACCAGCCCCTGGCAACCACCATTCTACCGTCTGCTCCTTTGAGTTTGACTATTTTAGATTCTGCATGTAAGTGAAATCATGCAGTATTTGTCTTGCTGTGTCTGCTTTATTTCACTTAGCATAATGTCTTCCAGGTTCATCCACGTTGACATGAGTGGCAGAATTTCCTTCTTTGTTAAGGCTGGATAATATTCCATTGTATATATAAATCACATTTTCTTTATTCTTTTATTCGTGGATGGGCATTTAGGTTGTTTCCATATTTTGACTAAATATTTGCAAACCATGTATCTGATAAGGGCTTAATCCCCCAAATATATAAGGAACTCCTACAACTCAATAGCATAAAAACAAGTAATCCAATTAAAAAACAGGCAAATGACCTGAATAGACATTTCTCCAGAAGACATGCCGATGGCCAACAGGTATATGGAAAGGTACTCAAAATCACTAATCACCAGGGAAATGAAAATCAAAACCACAATGAGATATCATCACGTTATTATCAATAAGACAAGAATACAAGAGATAGCAAGTGTTGGTGAGGATGTGGAAAAAAGAGACTCTTGTGTACTCTTGGCAGGAATGTGCACTGTTACAGCTATTATGAAAACCAGTGTGGAGGTATCTGTTTCTTTAGGGCTTCTTAAATTTCTCATCAGTATTTTGTCATTTTTGGTGAGAATGCCTTACACATTTTTTACTCTCTTTTAAATTGGATTTTTTAATTTAATTTTCAATTGTTTGTTAAAAAACAAATTTATTTTGTATGTAGGATTTATTTCCTATGACCTACTAAACTTATTTATAGCGGATAATTTATAGACCCCTCTGATTTGCTATGTAAACAATCATATGGGTTAGCAAATAAAGTATTACTTATGCCTGTCGATCTTTGTACCCCCTGTTTCTTCTTTCCTGTTGCAGGGGCCTTGAGTAAATATTTAATATAAATTATGAGAGTAAATATACTTATCTTGTTTCTAATCTTAGAAAGAAAATATGCAGCATTTCACCTTGAAGTATAATGCTAGCTGTATGGTTTGTTTTTTACATGTCCTTTATCAGATTAAGAAATTCCTATTTATTCTTAGTTTATGAGTTATTATGGATGAGAATTGGATTTTGTCAACTGCTTTTCTGCATTAAAATAAAACAATTATATTTAATCTTTAAAAATATTTATTGAACTTTACATTCCTTGGGCAAACTCCACTTCATCATTACATATTGTTGGATTTAATGTGCTAATATTTTAAGGAATTGTATGATTTATATTATGCATCTTATTATAATTTCTTTCTCAGTTTTAGCAGTCATGAATATGCCAGCCATTAAAAACAAATTGGCAATGTTCTTTCTATGTATTCTGAAAAATCATATATATATATACATATATATGATACATATGTATTATGTATATAAATGTGTGTATATATGATACATATGTTCATGTATGTATATGTAATAATAGTATTTTTTCCTCAAGTATTTCATAGAATTCACCAATGAAACTATTTGGGCTGGGAGCTTTATTTGTGGGGAATATATATATATATTTGAGAGCGAGAGAGTTCACGAGCAGGTGGGAGGGGTAGAGGGAGAGAGAGAATCTCAAGCAGGCTCCACGCCCAGCGTGGGGACTGATGCAGGACACGATCTCACAACCCTGAGATCATGACTTGAGCCCAAATCAAGAGTCAGACACTTAACAAACGGAGCCGCTTGGGCACCTCAGGAAAATATTTTTTAATCAACTTTATTAAGGTGTCATAAATGCACACATTTTAATTTTAGTGTAAACATTTAAATTGCACAGTTCAGTGAGTTCTGACATGTCTATTCATGATTTAACCAATACCACTATGAAAATAAAGAAATTTCTATTTCCCTGATTGTTCCCTTACGCCACTTCATTATCACTCACAACTACTTCATAAATGTAACTACTCATACATTCAACTCTTCATAGGCATTTGGGTTGTTTCTAGTTTTGGCTATTGTGAATAAAGCTCGTATGAACATTTCTGTGTGAGTTTTTGTGTGGAGTTACATATTTTTCTCTTGGGTAAAATTACATGAGCGTTAAGGTGTAGGGTAATATGGTAAGGTATGTGTAACCTGTTAAGAAACTCCCAAGGTTTATAGAGTTTTGGTTGGATGATTTTCACACCCACCAGCAATGTATGAGATTTCTACTTGTTTCACATTCTTGCAGTCTTGATATTGTCCATTTTTCACATTTTAACCATCTCAATCGGAGTATAGTACTATTTCATTTGTAGTATACTTTACAGTTACCATACAACTAACGGTACCCAGCATCTTCTTATGTTCTCTGTGAGCACTCATACATATTCTTTTGTGAATTGTTGTTCAGATATTTTCCTCTTCCCTTTTATCAGGTTATTTTTCTTCTAAACATTGACTTATAAAGGTTTATTTATATTTTCTGGAAATAAGTCCATGTATATTCTCTGTCAACTTTCTGAATGGTATCTTTCAAGTATCAGAAGTTCTAATTTTGATAAAACTAAGTTTCTCAATTTTTTTTCTTAATGGCCCAAAGATATTGTGTTAAATTGTGTTAAATAGGAAATTTCTGCTTACCCCAAATTCATAAAGCATTTTTCCTATTTTCTTCTAGAAATACTAACTTTGTCTAATGTGGCCTTGATAAACACAGTTACTGTGCTGAGTTTTTTATTTTTAGGATTTTTTTTCATACTTAATCGTGTCACATAAGAATAAAGACAGTCTCACTTTTTAGATTAGTTTCCATCCCCTTTGTTTTTATTGCCTCATTGGTCTGGCTGGCACGTTCAGAAAAGGGCTCAACAGAAGTGGTGGGAGTTGGCATCTTTTTCCTCTTCCCCTTGTCACGACCCACAGGCTTTCCCAATTAGGTATGATACTAGTTGGAGGCTTTTCAGAGGTGCCATTGATTGATGAAGGAGATTGTCTTCTATCCCCTATTTATTTTTATTTTTGATTATGAATGAGATTGAGTTTTGTCATGTTTTTTACACACTGTTGAGATAATCCTATATATTTTTATCTGTTATATTTTATGATGCATTGATGGATACACAGAGGTCGAACTGACCTTGCAAAAGCTAATGTAAACTACAGGTGATCATTTATAACTTCTCTGTATCACTGGGCTTTATATGCTAACAGTTACGGATTTTTCTATCTATAATCACGAGAGACTTCAGTCTACTTTTGTAAATATTTATAAAATTTTAGTATTAGGGCACTGCTGTTTAAAAACTGAATCACAATCATTCCCTCTTCTTGCTTTCTCTGAATAGTTTGGGTAAAATTTATATAATTTTCTCGTGTTTAATTCTTCATTGACGCTATCTGTACCCACACATTTATTTTTGTTTGGTTTTGCTTTTGGGTGGAAGGTGTGTGTGTGTGTGGCAGAGATTTATTATGGCTGTTTGGAAACAAATCTCTTTTTTATAATGGTATATTTCAAACATTTAGAAATACAGAAAATGATATTGTAAAGAAGTATGTACATATATCATTCCAGCAAATAAACAAGTATGTCATCTATTCAAAACATTTTATATTGTCACTTCATATTGTAAGATTTAAAGCAATTTAAATACAAAACAGCTGAAACCTCCTATAAATTAGGCCTCCACAGTCCGTTGTCTTTCCTTTTGGCTCAGATATATCTGTTATCAGAATTTGGTATTCCCAAGTCAGGATGTTTGACTTTTAACTTTTTTATTGCAGTAATCAATAATGACAGTATTGGTTTGCATGAATACACATTGTCTTCCTTAACTTCTGTAATTTGCTTTGTTTGGGCTCAACATTGATTTATGATTAACTTCTCATTTTAAAATTATACAGTTTAATGACTTGGACATGCATATATCCATGAAACTATCACTACAATCAAGAAAATGATCTTTGCCACAATGCTGAATTTTGCTTATGCCCTTTTGTAATTGATAGTACTTCCACATTCATTCCCAAACAAGTACTGATATACCTTGTGTCATGCATTTTTATAACTTTCTATAAGTGGAGTCATGCAGTATATAATGTTTGAATACTTTCACTCAGCAGAATGATTTTGAGATTCACCAGTGTTATTGTATGTATTAATAGTTTGTTCTTTATTGCTGAGTAGTATTCCGTTGTATGGATATACCACACTTTGTTTATCCATTCACCTGATGATGGACATTTGGGTTGTTTCCAGTTTTAGGCCATTACAAATAAAGCTGCTATGAACATTCCTGTACAAGTCTTTGTGTGGACATATGTTTTCAGTTCTCCTGGGAAAATACCTATGACTGCGATTGCTGGGTCATACGGTAAGTGTATGTTTAACTTTATAAAAAAAAAAAAAAAAGCCAAATTATTTTCTTAAGGCTGTACAATTTCATGTTCTACCAGCAAAGTTGGGGAGTTATAGTTATTCTGAATCCTTTCCAAAGCATAGTATGGTCACTCTTTTTTAATTTCAGCACTTTCAGTGTGTGTGTGTGTGTAGTGATATCTCATTGTGGTTTTAATTTTAAATTTCCTTTTAAAAAGATATTTTCAAGTTCCTATTGGATATTGGTATTTCATTTGCACAATATATGTTTAAATATCTTTCCCATTTTTTAAGTGGTTCTTTGTCTTACTGAGTTGTAAGAGTTCTTAATATAGTATAGACAAAAGTCACTTTCCAATATACAGGTTTTCCCCACTATCTGAAGTTTCACTTCATGCCACTTTACTTTTATGAAAGACCTACCTTAGTTTTCATTAAAGAAAATCCGAGAGGATTTCCACTTCTATGAAGTGGTGGTTGCTTCTTTGCTTTGTACCATTTCAGCTTCCAGTATGTTTCCTAGGAATGCTGTGCTTTCAGGTAGTGAGGGGAACCCGTATGTGCTTGAATGTATTCTCCCAGACTGTGGCCTACTTTTTTGTTTTCAGACAAAAACACTGAAGTCCAATTTACTAATTTTTTATCCTGTGGTTCATGTGTTTTTGTGTTCTAATAAACCTTTGCATATTCTAAGATCACAAAGATTTTCTCCTGTGATTTTCATTTAGTACTTTTGGGTTGTACATTTAGGTCTGTGGTTCATTTGAGTTAATTTGTCTACTTGGTACAAGGTAAGGGTTGATGATTTTTTTTTTTTTTTTTTTTTTTTACCATACAGATATCCTGTCCTGGTGATCTAGCACGATTTGTTGAAAACTTCTCTTTCTCCATTAAAATGTCCTGGTACCTCTTGTCGAAATTCAGCAGACTATCCTTGTGTAGGCTTGATTTTGCTCCATCCATCCATATCTTTTATTTCAGCAATACCAAAGTGTTGATTGCTGGAACTTCATAGTAACTATTACACTACATTTAAAAAATTGCCTTGATTATTCTACTTTTTGAATTACCATATACAGTTTAGAATTAGCATGCCAATTTCTACAAACAAACCTGCTGTGGTTTGAATAGATTGCATTGATTCTAGAGACAAAATTGATAATAATCGTCATCCCAAACACATAGTCTTCTGACAGTGAACATGGTTATCCGTCGTCTGTGTAAATTATTTTAAATTTGTCTCAAGGATGTTTTGTAGTCCGCATATTTTTCTTGGATTTATTCTGAAGGATGGTAGAGGGTTTTTTGCTCTTGTTTTTAATAATTTGGAATGTAAATGGAATTGTTTTTAATGATTTAATTTTCCAGTTAGCATATAAGAGTGCAGTTAATTTTTTTAAAGGAGAATTCTGAAGTGTTTTATTATTTTTTTCCAAAGATTTTATTTATCAGAGAGAGAGCGAGAGAGAGCAAGCGAGCACAAACAGGGGAAATAGTAGGCGGAGGGAGAAGCAGGCTTCCTGCTGAGCAAGGAGCCCGATGTGGGACTCGATCCCAGAACCCTAGAATCATGACCCGAGCCAAAGGCAGACGCTTAACTGACTGAGCCCCCCAGGCATCCCAAGAGTGCAGCTAATTTTTTTTTGAAGAGGATATTAAATCATGTATTGATTGCACATGATACTGTATGATACACAGGCTTTATTCCCATTTATAATTTTATCTGATAATACAATTTAGATATGTTATATAGGATATGCCAGCAATCATATTAATAACCAAATAAACTCTTTGACTTTGCTTGAGTGATCTTTTAATGGTGAACTCCAGGTCACAACTAACTTACTGTTGTCAGTTCAACTATATCAGTGTTTCTGGAGACGTGGCCTCTGTGCCCAGGCAGGTTGTATATAAATTTCGAATGCAACCTGGAATTATCTTGAAGGAATTCTAACTTCACATTGTTGGGGTAGTTTACCAGAATGGCTTCAGAGTAGACTGAGTTTAAGCTACATTTTTACAAAGACACATTCATTCAGCATCATGATCAGACTGTTAAATTTAGCAATCAGTAGCATGGGTGCAAAAAAAAAAAGAAATCCACATTAAAACCCATCGTTGGAATGCTTTACACTCTCCATAGAATAGAAACTAAACTAACCTGTTATACAGTTCATCACAAATACAGTCCTCGAGTTTTTGTCCATGTATGTGAGTATTGTCTAAAACATGTCTTTGTGGCAGCTAGAACCTGTCACCAGTGTGCTTGGCTGAGTTCATAAATCTCTTGTAACCTATAGCTCTCCTGTCACTTCTCTGGCTCTCCTCTCCTGCTCAGCTTTCTTTCCTGGCATTAATTAAAATCTTCTGCCACTGTCATAGCTCCTGTTTCTGCTGGAACCACCACAGCCACCTTTGTTGTGTGGTGGTTTGTCAGAACATTGGCCTCTACCACCTTAGGGGCTAGAGCTTCTGCCTCCAAAATTTCCATTGTTTCTTGGGTCCAAAATGAGAGGATTGATTGTTGTAGTTGATAGAATCATTGTAGCCTTCCTCGCCTCCAGAATAGCTTCCATCATTACCATGTCCATGATAACCATCCCCACTGGTTCCATATCCACCACCACCTTGACTGCCACCAAAGCCATCTCACTTACTGAAGTTCCTCCGTAACTACCACCGAAGTTTCCAGACCCACATCGACCTCTTCGGCTGGATGCAGCACTAGTCATCTTTCACTTAGATAGGGCTTTTCTTACTTCACAGTTGTGGCCTTCACAGTAGGGTATTTCTGAATGATAATCTTGTCTAGGGAGTCATGGTTATCAAATATTACAAAAGCAAGGCCTCTCTGGCCACTGTCTTAATCATGATTTCAATCACTTCAATTTTCCCATACTTTTCCGAATCTCTTAGGTGATGTTCTTCGGTGTCTTCTGTAATGCCATCAACAAAAATCTTCTTCACAGTTACATAGGCACCAGGTCTTTGCAGATGTTCTCTTGAGACAGCTCACTTTGGTTCCACTACTCTTCCATTCACCTTGTGTGACCTTGCATTCATGGCTGCATCCACCTCTTCTTCAGTGGCATACGTGACAAACAAAACCTCCCGAGTGCTTTGTGTTTGGATCTCTCAGTACTACACAGTCCATGAACATTCCCCAGTGCTCACAGTGGCTCCTCAGACTCTCATCAGCTGTTTCAAAGACCAAACCTCCGATGAAGAGCTTCCACAGTTATCTGGGCTCTTTGGGAGACTTTGACTTAGTCATGACAGCAGTGGGAGGGGAGACTTTAATGATGCTTGTTCAGTGGCATTCACAGGCAGAAATACTGACCTGGATCATGTGACTCTGTTTAATTCACTGATTAGATCTCGAAATTATTTTGTATACTCTATATTTTTCTTACATGAGTAAACATATCATCTGCAAGTAATAGCAGTTTTACTTCTTTGTCTTATAATTGTGCCTTTTATTTCTTTTACTTGTTTTATTGCATTTGCTAGCTCCTCCAATGCAGTGTTGAGTAGAAATAAAAACAGGTATTCCTGCCCTGTTCCCAATATTAGAGATAAATAACTTTCACTTTCAAGTATGGTATCAACAGTAGGATCTTCTTAGATGCTTGTTGCCAGTTTGAAGCAGTCCCCTACCAGTCTTGGGTTTTCTGAAGCCTTAATCATGAATAGTTAGTGTATTTTGTCCTATACTTTTATCTGCAACTTTTGAAATAATCATATGGTTTTTGTCCTTTATTATGTTAGTATAGAAATTTGCATTGATTGATCTTCTAATGTTGAAACGACTTTGCATTTCCAATTTCCCTTTTGATATTTTCTTTATCCTTTTGATCTTTCAAGAGAAAATTTATTTCCACATATTTGTGAACTTACCACTTTTTCTTATGTTACGGATTTCCAGCCTCATTGTGTTGCGATTATAAATAATTTGTATGCCAGTCTTTTAGGGTCTGTATTTTGGCCCAAAATATTCTCTATCCCAGGAAATATTCCATGTGCACTTGAGAAAAACGGGTATTCCGTCACTGTGGGTGGAGTGTTTTATGAATGTCGTTACGTTTAATTGGTTTATTGTGTTGTCAGTCCTCCACTGATCTTCTGTCTAAAAACTCTATTCATGGGCGCCTGAGTGGCTCAGTTGGTTAAGCATCCGCCTTTGGCTCAGGTCATGATCCCAAGGTCCTGGGAGCAGGGACCCTGCTTCTCCCTCTCCCTCTGCCTGACACTCTGCTTACTTGTGCCTGCTCTCTCTCTGTCAGATAAATAAAATCTTTAAAAAAATAAATAAAAATTCTATCCACTATTTGAAGTGAGGTAATGAAATCTCGATTACCGTAAAGCTTTGTCAATTTCTCCCTTAATTCTGTCAGTTTGCTTTATGTATTTTGTGTACCTATTGTTTGTTTTATATATTTTTATAATTGTTATATCTTGGTGAATTCACCCTTTTGTAAGTATGTAGTTTCTTTCTTTTCCTCTTAATAACAGTTTTTTACTATTCTGTTTAGGTGTATATTAGTACATCAGCCCAGCTCTTTTTTCATTACTATTTTCATGGAATATCTTTTTTCATTCTTTCACTTTCAACCTGTTTGTTTCTTTTGATCTAAAGTGAGTCTCCTTCAGATTGCATATAGTTGTAGCATGTTTTATTTATTCATTCTGTCAATCTCCAGCTTCTGATAGTGGAATTTAATCCATTTATGTTGAAGTAATTACAGATAGGAAAAGACTTATTTCTGCCATATTATTATTTCCGGTATGTTGATTGTTTTCCAGAGTTCTTTCAGAGTTAACTCTGAGAGTTTTGCTTGATTTTTTTCGTATCTTTTTGGTTGGGACAGCCTTTTGGAGCTACCAGTATTTTCGCTAGTATCACTGTCTATTCATTTTTTGAAACTTTTGTTGCTCTTTATTCTACAGAATGGGCAATTCCTGTTGTTATATCTTCATATTTACTGACATATTCTA